ACTGCCCTGGCTCACTGTTCCTGAGGAATTGTATTTCTTATAGCTGTAAATCAAATCCTGAAGAAACAGGATGATATTTTCTAAGCAATAGCTGAGGACAACAAGTATCTTTTTTGTCAGTGTCAGATTTCTGAATTTAGATCACAATTAGGATTCCAAAATGAAAAAACCCACATATTATATACCAAATATACTCATGACAGTGTTCTTACAAGCAACATATTAATTTTCAAATAGTGGCTTATTGTCCTGTATTTGTCCAAAAGTATGTTCATTGCTGCCTTCAGAGGCCTTGACTTTTATTCTTCGTTGATGCCTAATGACCTTCATTGAACAGTAACATCAAGTACTTGATTTCAATGAAGAATATTAAATTTTTTCAATTAAATGGAAGATGTATACTCCTACAGCATATGACATCCATTCATTCCTAGCAAGAAATGTACTTCTTAAATCAAAAAGGGATTTTATAGACCTCTGTATGATAACAGTGTCAACCAAAGGGAAGGACATATGCACAGCATCATATTCTGGAGAGCAATGAGTGTCAATTGCCTTGATCTACAGACAGTGCCAAGACCTGACACAACAGTAACTTTATTAATCTGCTTGATTTCTGATATTGATTTGACATAAAATGTACCCTGCTAGCTTTAAGATCAGGGATATTTTCTTGTTATTGGAACAAGGGCAGTTGTACCCATGCAGTGACTCACAGCTTGGTGGAAGTATATGAACTGCCCCATGGCACCAAGCCCAACAACATTCAAAAAGCATTTGGACAATGCCTTCAGACACATGGTCTGAATCTTGGGATTGTTCTATGCTAGTTTGACTCCATGATCCTTGTGGGTCCTTTCCACACATTCTATGATTCTATGCTTGACATGCAGTTCAGCCCTGTAATGTTTCTATGCAGAGGTAAGTAAAGAGATGATCCGATCACCTTCCCCATTCTTACAAGTGGTAAAGTAGAACCAGAGGCATGAGGGGTCTTTCTAGTGTGTTAGTTCTAGATGCATAACTATGAAATGTAAAACAATGAACTCCAACTCTTTCATGCCACATATCCTAATGCAGAGCTCTGTCACACAGAGCTAGGATCAGCGACTGCATCTGAGCCAGGGTACAGCTAGACCTGCAATTTTTGAGGGCTCAAACTCAAGTTGTTGCAGCTTAGCCAGTTGCTGTGTGTCAGCTGAGCCAAAAGCTAAGCCGTGATGCTGGTTGTGTACAGGCTGTTAGATTAGAGAACATTTTAACTCTAATCTCAGTGAGAGAGACTTGATTTATGGTAAGTGATATCTGTCAGGATTCTACCAGCAATTTTTTCAACAAACACAGCGAAGACAAACAAATGAGAAGTTTCCCAAACTTCTGAAACCATGAAGCATTATAAAATAGAAAACAGATCAATAAGGTAGAACTGGTTGTGAAGTTTGTGAAAAAGCATGACCATTGAAGGCTTAAATGAAACAAGATAGAAACAATATCCCTAAACTTTTTATATGCTTGAAAAAAAAATGATGCTTCAATAACTTGTTGGATAACCATCATGTATTACTGTGTTGGAATAAATGCAGGCATATGTAGAGTTAGAATATGAATGTTTTATTAATCCACAAGGGCATAAAGCTTTAACTAACATAAATCTCTAAGTAGAAATCCTGAAACTAATGGAATTTTTGCTATTTACTTCACTGGAGTCAGAATTTTAGTCCATAAAAATTTGCTTTTTTAGGACATAATGCCCATGTCCATTGAAGTCAATGAAAGCTTTTCCATTGACTGTAACTGACCTTTCATTAGGGCAGCAGTTCCCTTACAAAAGACTGTTGTCACTGCTGTAGTCCTGCAGACCTTCTTCACCATTATACTTGTTATGGTCACATTCCTGAAACTGCTTTTGTCTTCTTTTATCTGAGATAGCATTAACAAGGCCTGTTTTTCAAAGTTTCTAATGGGCTTCTATGATCTGAAGCCATCAACAGCCCTCTTCATTTTTTCTGTGTGATTTTGTGCAACATTTTATTCTTTGCTTGTTTTCCTCTTTGATGTCTTTGAATAACCTGGATGAGAAGGCAGGATGTACTGGCTTTACTTTTTCCATTTTTCTTCTGATATGCTGTCAGTGAATAGGCAAAGTAGCAGTTTTACTTGTGTTTCCTTTTACCCTTAGATCTACCATTGCAATTTGAGATTCTTCTTGTTTCAATTTTTAAAAATTATTTTCTCTCTTGTAAAAATTAATCAAGATTTTTAGCTGCATTCTGCAGTCCTCCATCAAATATAACCTTTTCAGTTTGTTGCCTTCTCAAATCCTGCTTCTACTTTTCAGTAGGGTTTTCTAACCATTACTTTAGCTTCCATTCCAATTCCTCTTCAAAATATTGCATAATACTGCCTTTTTTTTTTTTTTTTTAAATTGAAATCTCAAGCAATTTTTTCCTATGTTGCACGGGCAAATCTCCTGCATTTTCTGTTTTGCGGAACTGGAGTTCTATGGTATTTTACCTTCTACAGCCAGTCTCTGCAAGTTCCTGAATTTTAGCTCTAATTTTATTACCACTAAAACAGGAGGACTTTCTCTTTCTAGTTTGGTTTGAACTTGCTTTTCTAGGATGGACAAGTTGCTATGAAGGGTTTTGTGATTTCTTTCTATCTTCTCTCCCCGCCCTCCCCTCCCCAATGCTAGAAAAGTCGAGCATCTCTCTGGGCAAAGATATAAACCACTTCAGCTTCTGCAGGAGTTATAATGGGCAGATACACTTCCTGAGCTATTTCCAAGTCTAATTTAAACTTGAAGACCTTTCATCCAGAGCATGAGTTTAAACAACATGAATAGACAAATGCAAAGTCCTGTAGCTGAGATGGACTGGTTCCCTGCAATGGTACAGACTAGGGACTGACTGGCTGGGTTGGATAATTGGAACAGGCCATTCAGAGAAGTTGTGGAAAGTCTGACCTTGAAAGTTTTCAAGATCAGCTAGACAAAATGCTAAACAATTTGCTTTGAATCAATGCTGATCTTTTTTCAGCATGAGGTGGGACTAGATTAAGTCCCAGGGTCCCTTCCAACCTGAATGATTCTATGAACATCTTGTGCCTAAAAGCCAAGAGAACAACTATACATAAAAGATGTAACCAGCCTCATCTATTGAAAAAAAATTAGCCTAGCAAGAATAATTATGCTATAGCCACACAGCCAAGTTTGGAACTCCACTCTGCTGGATGCTGATAATGGGAGAAAGTGCCCGTGTTTATAAAGCTTGCAATCCAAGCAGCTGAATGAGACACACAGTGAGAGCCGGAACACAGTAAGGTGAAGCGATTCTCTAGAAGCCATTCCTGACTCCAGAGTCTCCTGAGTTCTAGCCCAGTGCTTGTACACTGGACCACACAGCACTCACACTGTCGGCATAGGTGTCTAAGTTTTCTAAAGATGAATGTTTCATAAAGCATATTCTATTTCAGAGAGAAGTGGTCATTCAGAAGATGAAGGTCTTTTCAAATGGGATGTTCATCTCTGCCAGGTGGTATGTTAAGTCTGTGTCATAAATATATTTTATTTCTTCGGTCAGATAGTGCAGTGGAAGTGCAACTTGTCATTTTTGACTTCCAGTTTCAAGAGCACCAAATAAGTTTCTGAATTTGTTCCTTCATTTTTGACTAACTGACATATTCTCCTGAATAGTAAATGCTCAAAATGTAAATGATGCAAAATTACTTTGTTTATAATTTTGGCTAGTTGATTTTATTTTTTTCCACAGAAATGTATCTAACCTGACCTTATGCTAAATGCATTTTACCTTCTAGAAACTTCAAGCTATTTTAAAGCTTTACAAAGCTTGATACTGTTGGCTGCCATTTATTATCATAGGAGCCATCCCTGTTCTCCTGCTTTCCAGTTGCAGTTAACCTCCTATCTTCCCTTGCAGATCAAGCAAGGTACTTTCAGACTGAAGATTTATACTGCCTTCTGTTATAGTCATATGTTTTTGTAAAAGCTACTTAAATGTGGCTGTATATGGGTTGCTACCCTTTTATTAAGAAATGCTAGTAGGACATGGTGCAGGGAGAGAAGAGTTATTCAAATCTGGGATTCTGAATTTAAGAGGCAGTTTGCAGATAGTCTTTTACATTAAGAAAAACAAAAAAGTCAATCATAAATGCAGTCAGCCACTGAAACTTCCAAAGAATTATCTGGCTTCACTGCAGGCACAGATAAATTAGAGATTATGGGCCTAAGTCTCTCTTCGCAACAGGGTAAATCAGGAGCACCATCACTGAAGTCAACAGATCTCAACAAGAAAAGAATTAGGCCCTATGGCTTTTAATATGAGGAATAAAAAGAGTTTAATTACGAGGAATCATGCTGAACCTCCCTTTCCCCATGCACAGACATATGCACATGCTCTCTGGTAAGGTTTCTCTCTTGTAACATTTTTTGTATTTCTGTTATCCTCATCCTGATCAGATACTACCTGTGTGCAAATAACATGGACATAGGTGCTATAGGGATGGGGGCCATATAGATATTAATACACAGAGTGTTTAAAACACTGGTAGAGCTGTAGCTCAGTTATGTATTGAAAAACCTGGTGAAATCTCAAATATGCTGCAGTTTTTAACCACCATGTTAAGACTCAGAAACAAAACAAAGAGAGGAGTTCCTTTTCTGTGCTAGGGAGGGAGTTTCTCACCTAAGCAATACCTCTTTGAAAGAGTAAAATAATGCACAGCACTGTAAATGAACAGCTGCTGGAAACTCTAGTAATAGAAATATAATTTTTTATTTCCATATATGTGAACAATTTATATGTCTATAAAAATACTTGAAAACAAATCATACAAAAATTTATATTTATTTAACCTCTACTAAACCCTGTGACAAAAAAAGGCAGGTGCAAGATGAAGACCCTAGTCATGGAATATAAATAATAGTTCAGGAACAATCAAATGTTGTACCAGATTATTTTGATAAAAACACAAGTACTTACAGTCTAAGTGACTATGTCTGATGCCTTCCACATCTTCAGCATGAATGAAGTGGTAACATCTCTTTCCTACGATATCTACAGGGGTCAGGTCCATGTAATCACTAATCCTAGAAAGGAAAAAAAATTACAGCTCATAATTCAAGAAGAAAAGGAATACAAGAACTGTCAAATGACTCAGAAAGTGAAATCTGCTAAAAAGTCTTTTCACCACTACAGTAATTTGAATGGAATATCTGTACAAACAAGAACGATCTTCAAAGAATAAAAAAAAAAAAGAAAAAGTTTTTTAAAGAAACCTTTAAATAATTTTATCCATTTAAATAAGTGGAAAGTTAAATTCTAGTACATATTCTCCCCGTAGCATAACACCAAGACAATATAATTCCATTAAACTGTAAAGCATTAGCAACAATCCAAAATCCTCATTAAAAGACCAAGATGATTCAAGGTTACAAAATAAAGTAAAAAGATAGTATGTTTATACAAAATGATTAGAGACACATTTCATTTCAACAGATTTGTCTTCTACTGGGTATATTCATGAAAGAGCTCTTCAACCATTTCTTGGCACCAAGTCCAAACTGATATTTCAAGGGATATAATTTAAATGCTGAGACATACAGATGCCTCAGGGTGTTATCTTTTTTAGTCTAATTCATTTGGGAGCTCAGCTTTCACTCTGGGCACTTTCAACGGGGACTTTGTTGTTTATTGCACATAGAAACTTTAAAATCTATTCTGCAGACCTTTGTGTGCATGCGTCTGTGTGTGCGTGTCTTTGTGTGCGTGTCTGTGTGCATGTGTAAACTTCTGCCACAGAGTGTCAAGATGTCAATGTCCTTAAATGCAGTACAGAAAACAAAACAATTGGAAAATGCCTTGCTCACATAAGCTTTTAAAAGTATGTCTGCTTTCTAGAAATAGAACAATTTTTTAGGGTTTGAAATATGCTGCACTGATTTGGGTTAAGTCCACTTTGCAATTCTAAGATATAATTGCCATCCATTTAAGGGAGTTGTAAGAAACATCAAACATCTTGATATAACCAGAGGGCCGAAACAACTGGAGTGTGATCCTGAGGGAGGCCAGTGGGGAGGCTAAACCAGAAACTGAATTGTGTAGGTCTAGAGGGTTCTCAGCAGGCAGAGAGGGCGAACACAGCCACTGAGGCACTGACTAGCAGAGCTGTGTTTGCCTGGGTGTCTGAGGCAGGGAGAACGCAGAGACCAGAAAGACTGAAGGAGAATGGAAGCATAAGACAGCACTATAGCAGCACTGGTGATTGTCCCAGTTAAAAAAACCCCAAAAACCAAAACCAAACATGAAAAACACAGGTAGAGCAGGTGGGCTCAAGTTTGCTAGTAAAAATTGTGAAATCAAGTTTAGCACAAAACACAACAGCCTTTTCCCACTTTCATGACAGAACATGCTGAAGGACGTGCACTTTTGAACAACTGCCTAGTAGTTACAGCACTTAACCCAATGTGGGATACCCACCTGAGGATACCTGTCTAATGTTTATCACAAACCACAGTTGAAAAGCACCTCTCCTATCTTCTCAGAGAGGACACAATTAACCAGGATAAAGACAAGTCTGGAATGATGGCAGTGGGACTCCCCATCCCTCCTGCTGAGTTCCTCCACTTTGGTTGCACAGTGAATTAGCGGATGCAGAACAAAGGACCTGGAATATCTGCCCAGTGATAAGAAACCTCACCAGAAGGAAGGGAGCCTGAGATTTAAAAGTTCTTGTCCCATGTACTGTATATTATCTTTTTATACTAAACTAAGTGTATAAACAGTCCATGGAGCAGGAACCAGAACTCAAGTCTCTCCTCCTCCCATGTCTACGCTCTCCTCACTGGCACACTTTGCTGTCTCTTCTCTGTTCCAACAACTGTGTGCTTCTTGTTAGGAGGTAGCCCTGCTTCAAATCAAGGAGAAGAAATCCCACCCTGCCCAGCCTAGTAGAAAGGGGCAATCTCCAGGGAGGCCATTAGCCCTGTGTTGTACCCAGGCTGGGAGTGCTACAGTTCACAGGGCTAAGATGCAAGACGATAATTTTGCTTCCCCCTCTGGTAAATTTGACTCAGCTGTGTTTTGTTTCTCTGTGGCAGCATGTTTGTGTAAAGTCTTCACAGATAAAAATGAATACAACAAGGCAACTGTGGAAGCACATTCTCAGCCTCTTAAGTTTAAGGGTAATATTAAGATAAAGCTGTTTTAAACAGACATATGAAGGACACAGGATTTTTTTTAATGAAAAAAGTGGAAGAAGAAATAGAAAGATTATTCAGGTGTAATTGATGATCACTGGCAAGCAAGGACACTAAAACCAGAAGCAAAAAAATTTACATCAAATAGGACACTCATGCTTATATCAAAGGCAACAAAGATGGAAAATAAATAATTTGCATGAAGAAAGAAATATTATAGTATATCCGAGAGCACTAGTTAGGAGACAGATCTTGTGGCTCCCACACCCTTTGACAAAATAAAGCAACAGGTTGATGGGTAGGAACTCAGTTCTGCGGAATACAGAGACCTGATCCTGTAAAATGTAAGGACAGGCTTACGTTTGAGCAGATTGGTGGTTCCAGTGACTTACAGGACCATTAACATGATTGAAACTTAAAGGTAGCTACATGGTACAGTGCTTTGCTGAATTAGGACCAAATTGTGCACACGTTTGAAGGCCTTAAGCTCTCTACACAAGACTGCTGGCCAAGATGCTTACATTTGGAAAACACTTGGTTATTTCCTTTTGGGCATGTATTAGCAGATATGGCTATAGCAGTCCACATTAAACTGGGCTATAGGCTCTCTCCAGATAGTCTCCAATCACTAACAGTTGACATGGAAAATGCAAAGGCTGATGCTGTACTCTAGCAGTAGTCTCCTTTTTCTGCTTTTAGTTATTTATCATGGTCTAAGGTGATTTGTCCTCTGCAGGTGCTTTTCTCACTCCACTGACTAATAAAGAAATTCTAGACTATTTTAGACTAGGTGGTGAAGTTTAGATGACATGAATCCCATATTTGGAAAACAGACATGGATTAACATACCACATTTTAGCCAACAAAATGTTACATCCCCATTTAACAGTCTCAGAACAAAATACTAATTGTTAGAAATATCCGTGCATTAGTTAACAGATCTTGTCTCAAAGGAAAGCTAACTGTTGACTAGTTTGTGCACTGAGTCCAGGATCCTGATGCAGATCTCTTCATTCAGAGGAAAGTAGCAAGATGCACCCAAAAACTTAAGTAATGTTACTCCTGCTTCCTGCTGTTTCAAGCAGGCAACCGCTTGCAAAATTAGGAGTACTATTGATCTCACCCCTGCTGATCCAATGGTTCACTGTGAGCATTCATTTCAGTTAAGTAGCATGGCTTCTGCTGGATACTCCCCGCAGCTACCAGTAACTCCCCATTGCTCCATAAACAGTGCTTACAGCTTCCCCAGCATGGATCCATTTTCTTCTGTTTTCATCAATGTTGTGCTTGCTTTACTGTGGCACCACAAAGAATTTCTCCTCTCCCTGCAAGTGTCAGGAGTCACAGAATCATAGAAAGTTACGGGTTGGAAGGGACCTTAAAGACCATCTAG